TTAGCATCCACCCTCTCGTTTGTCACACTATTTAATAGTTTTATAGCTAATAAACATGCAGCAGACTTCGAGCTAACTTTATTTAACTTTTAATCATTTTGGGCATATGTTTCCAGGATTTACGAACAGTACCACACACATTTGTAGCCTGACCGTGAAGCCACATAAATAAATCTCGACTGGTGTACCAGTTATCTACATAAAGTCTGTGGCCTTTTTTGTGTGGATAGCGGGCCAGTAAAGTGGATACAATATCAGCCCCTTTCCATAAACCTGACACAGTAATGTCACTGTTGACACTAGTGTACACTATAAAAACCTAAAATATACCCAGTTTTGCAGTCACACATAACAAAGGTTTTCACCATAGTTCTACTTCTTTTTTACGTTTTAGATCTCTCTATTTTAAATGCACAACATTTATTTCTATTGAACCGCCGGTATTGTCTATCCTCTTATACGAATATGAAAGTTGGATTCTCACTGCGGAACTGGACAGGAAGATTCCGGCTTTCTAACATCAATGTTATAGACGAATTTTACGAATTATGTGTTTAGGACATTGAATAATAACTATGTAGGAGACCACACACACACAAAAAAAAAAATACATCAGGAGCCTGTTTGGCAGTGGGTGAAACTTCGCAAGGTGGCTTGGTTTGGGCACGTTTTGAGATGCATTTGATTGCAAAGAGAGCCTGAGCTCAGGACCTTCCGATCCTCAGCCGAGCGTCTACCAGCTACACCACAGCGGCTCCATGGAAACAGCTGAAAACATTCTTTGTGTACAACATTTTAATGGTGTTCATAATGCTGCTTGACCATCTTGTACCTTTAAATGCAATGGGTAGTGGAAGTTATGTTTGATTATCCTTGTTACTCTGATGTTCTGATGCGAAACGTAAGGTACAAATGAATTGTTGATTTCACTAGTCAAACCGTCTCCCTATTCCGGATCACATACACAGTATCAGTTAATATACAGTTATGAACAGTTTTGATAACAACAATAAGAATTCCACAACGGGAGAATGCACAACAGGAGATCTTCAATATGTGTCTCCCTTTCAACAACTGTTTCGGCCCGTTTATCTCCCTAGACAATCTGAACCGAAAAAAGGGGCGGGTTGGGGGGGGGGGGGGGGGGTAGGAATTGCCCGGTCGACCTGGGTCATGACTTCTAGGTCTCAGACTTCTCCGGCTGCGCTGCTGACTGAATAATCGGACAAAATATTTTAATGATTATCGCAACACGCCTCCCCCGCCCACTTTAAGTATGAGACAAAACGCCACACCCCCCCCTCCCCCCAACCCTTTAAGTATGCGACAAGACACCATAAGCCCTCCCCTCCCTTGAGTATGTGACAAGGCGCTACGCGCCCCCCCCCCCCCTTTGTAAATTATACTCCACACGGTTCCCCCCCCCCCACCGCCGAGTATGATAAAAGACGCCCCACGCTCCCCTCTCTCCCCCTCCCCGGAGTATGGGACAATACGCCCCCCCCCCCTAAGTATAGGATCAAACAACCCCCCCCCCGGCCCTCTTTAAGTGTGAGACAAGACGCCACACACCCTCCCCTTTTTTTACTCTGGAAAGGGAGAGAGGCGGGAATGCCACCGTACAACATAACAAAATGAGATTAAAAAGAGGAAGGCGGAAATAAAACGTCCCAAGCACTATAGACACCGAAAAAAAAGGCACACAAATCAGCATCAGTTAACAAACGAAACACCTGGCACTTTCTTGTCCAGATATCAATCTGATCGTTGACATTGTTTTGCCTTGATGATGTCTGCTAATTTTGATCTCATGTTGGAACGAAGATCACTCTCCACGTCAAGCTGGCATCACTGTTTTGTTTTCATGACTTCTAAAGTGAAAATCCTGATTATTACAAGCAAGAATAAACTCAGGTTTCACAATTATTTGACGCAACCCTGCCCCCCCCTCCCCCCCCCCCCCCCCCTCTTTCAAATTAGAAACTTGTCCACGCCTCCTAGATAAGCGGGCCCTTAGGGTGGACACCCATTGGTCTAGAGCACTGGTCGTCAAACTCATTAATCAAAGGAGCCACGAATCAGCAGCAGGGCCATTACACATTTTTTTTAAGAACCTGTCAAGAACCATGGTTTTTGGAGTCAAAACCAATTCGTGGCTGACTGGCCAGACCGCACTCAGGTCGATAAAGAGCCGCATGCCGCTCGCCAATTGCGATTTTCCGACCACTGGTCTAGAGCAGAAGAAAAATAAAACAAGAATGGGTAAAAGTAACATTGGTCTCCCCAAAAGCCGCCCATACACTAGCTTACTTCCGATTGGTCGATCTTCAGCCTAGCTCACTTCTGATTGGTAGACCGTGAGCCACCCGTACTTGCAACAAGTTGACGGGGGGTGTTTCCCAGTATCGTTGATATCGCGTCTTCTATATTTTAGCATTCCAGTGCCTTTAACACTACAAAAACATTGACAAACTGGGTCTAACACACAACCCCTTTAGAGAGTGATGAAACCTATGTCACAGGCATTCTCTTTCTCTGAATAAAAAAGTAAATGCAAACAACAGAGCGGCACACCCATAACGTCCAGCAGGTTAGACCAGTCTAAGAAAGTTATCAATGGAACGTGATCTACTTTTTGAAGGGAGACTAACGTTTGTTTAACCCAAAAATGGGTGATAGAAACGTTAGTTCCCCCCCCCCCACGGACCGCCCATATATATATATATATATATATATATATATATATATATATATATATATATATATATATATACTAGCTCACTTCCGATGGCTGACCTTCAAACTAACTCACTTCTGATTGGTCGACTTTGAGCCATCTGACCTTAGGGCAAGGTGACGGGGGTGTTCCCCAATACCACTGATATCGCGTCTTCTATATTTCAGCATTCTAGCGGCTTTAACACTACAAAAACATCGACAACTGGGTCTTACACACAACCCCTTTAGCGAGTGACGAAACCTATGTCACAGGCAGTCTCTTTCTAGGATTAAAAAAGCAAATGCAAGACAACAACAAAGCACCTCACCCATAAACTTTACCACGGCAGACTAGTTTAACACAGGTATCAATGGAACTTGACCTACTTCCTTTAGGCAGACTAACGTTTGATTGACCCAAAAATGATATCCTCCCTGCACTGTCCGGGGCCACTGAACTAGCCATTCGACATTTAATCATAATGCCCAAGACACCCCTGTCTAACACTGTTGCCATTGCTTTGAGGGAAAAAATCGTTACATTCAACCAACATTCCCGAAGGGGGAGCTTTATGTTACAATTGTGACTAGGATATGTGCGCCACATAAAATGGCTTAGCCCTGCACGCCACCAAGAAGCCCTAAAAAAGACTCCTGCAATGTTGATGCGATCAAAGGAAACAGACTCAATACTGTTACCACAGGCGACAAAGTCGTCTACTATCGAGCTTTGAACGACTCCGTCATTGATGGTTGACACCGTCCCAAATAAGGGTATACTTAGGCTAGGGCGACGTGGACAAATTTTATTCGAAAAAAGGCGCCACGACTAAGAACACTTTTAGAAACACTAGTTTAAAGTTTAAATATTAGAGAACAACATTCGTTACAAACGAGAAATTGGATAAAGAAATTAACTTCCGATGCAGTTATGCAACTAAGTATTGGGATAGTTAGTTCCCTCCCCCCCCCCCCACCCCCGCCTTGTTTTCTCTTTTCTACCCCTTCCCTACACCTTTTTTCTTTTTCTCTTATTTGTTGTTGTTGTTGTTGTTGTTATGGCATAAGACAATCCGAACAAACAGGTACATCTAATACAATGCATATGCATACCCACTTACCAGGCGTCGTCGTTCACTACAAAGCATTCAACAAAATATTAACCATAAAAATGCAGTGACTGAGAAGGACTGCGGGAATTATGGCAAATCAAATGGTTTGCCCACTTAGAGAGGATGCCTTGTGATGCCAGAAAAACACTTATTTTTGTCGAAACTTGCTATATAAATCCGGCTTCTTTAATAGTCGCTTATGCTTGATAACGACCCCTAAACCGTCTGGTACTGAAAGTGTCTAAAAACAATATCCTACTGTTTGTCCAGATTGAAAAGAAACGGTCCTTGCACGTGTATTTACCGCCTCTAAGGACTGTATAGAGCACGAGATTTTTAGCCGGACGATCTAAAGTTGCCCGGCTAGCGATGGCGGCATAAACTCTGCAGGATAGGATTTTACTTCTTACCCCTGACAGAAAAATCTCCATTCTATTCCTGAGGATTCGACTCCTAGAACCCAGTTTTTGTATTGCTCGGTCAGTCACTCTTCGCTGGGCTAATCGCCCTGCTCAGTGTGGAGACATCATAAAGGTGCGCAGCAGGCAAGAACACAAAATTACCAACGCTAGTAGATGGCAGAATAAAAGATACATGTGTCTTCATACTCTAGTATAGTATCTCCTTGAAGACAAAGCATCTACCTTCTTTCTTCTTTCTCTTCAATCCTTTCGTCAGGAACCCTTACATCTGGAGACCAGCAGCCCTGTCAAAAGCATCATGCAGTCCACAATCTCCCTGTGTGTTCTGCAGCTATGTGTTGATTGAGGTTCAAACAGGCCAAGCTGGTCTCTCTGTTAGCAGCATACAGTCTTCAGTGCTGAAGCTAACGCTCAGCATTTGCAGGTACTAAGTTTCAGTGACAATTATCAGTGTTCATGATATTACCACACACACGCACAAAACTTAAACACATTCTAACAAAGGCTGTTAGGCGACAAGAAACCAGCTGTCGACAAGATTTGGATTCGTTCAACCTGATAGGAAATTATAAGAAAAGATATGTAACAGCTGCCCGAAATACTACACACGGGCACAATGCAGTCTTTGCCGATAATGAATGATCTATGCAGTGTTATCCTGCTCAGTGGTTTTTAGTTCACACACAAATAAAGTTAATGATGCACGCACATACATTTAATTTATTTTCGTGAAGTTGCAGAGCTGCTGTCACAAAACCGCATCTTCATTAACGACATGGAAACTCGTTGGTAGTGATGGCTTTCTCTCTCCTCGTTGGTTAGTGTGTTTCATGTTGTGTGTTTTAATTTGATGAATTTTGGGATCGATGGGCAGTGAATATCTAGGTTTGGTAAAACGATGATGTTGGAGCTCGTGGTCTGTTAAGGAACGCTGCCGCCCATACAAAGGTGATAAATGGAAATCGTTTATACTTGCGCGTCTTCTTTCCACCGGTGAAATCACCGACCTGTGGACAGAGAAAGTAACCAATAACTGATATGAAATTACCCTCTTACGAATGAGACATCTCCTTCTCCTCCTTCTCCTCCTTCTTCTTCTTCTTCTTCTTCTTCTTCTTCTTCTTCTTCTTCTTCTTCTTCTTCTTCTTCTTCTTCTTCTTCTTCTTCTTCTTCTTCTTCTTCTTCTTCTTCTTCTTCTTCTTCTTCTTCTTCTTCTTCTTCTTCTTCTTCTTCTTCTCCTTCTTCTTCTTATTCTTATTCTTTTTCTTCTTATTCTTCTTCTTCCTTTTCTTCTTCTTCTTCTGCTTCTTCTTTTCTTCCTACTTTTTCTTCTTGTTCTACTTCTCCCTTTCTTATTTTCCCTCCTTTTCTTTTTTACCTCCTTGTTGTTGTTGTTGTCGTTGTTGTTTTTCTTCTTCTTCTTCTTCTTCTTCTTCTTCTTCTTCTTCTTCTTCTTCTTCTTCTTCTTCTTCTTCTTCTTCTTCTTCTTCTTCTTCTTCTTCTTCTTCTTCTTCTTCTTCTTTTCATCCGCCGCCTCCTCCTCTTCCTGCATCTTATCCCTGAGACCTCTTTCTGATTTTGCTTCTTCTGTTCTTCTGTTTCTACTCTTTAATGCCTGTCAAATATGGCTTTCGAATACCTGGGCTGAAAAACTTTTTTCTTTTATGGTGCCATGAGTGTATTGCTTATTTTAATGGAGATATGTATAAAGATATATAGACCGACTGGCAGATCCGGATTAGCTTGTTATGTAACTATGCAGACACGTGTGTTTCTAGATAGACTGATTTGATAGACATAGAGAAAGATAAGTGTACAGGTAGGTTATGAGGTAAGAAGACAGATGACCAAACAGAAAACAATTTGCATTTAATAAATCTTTCTCTTTCCGCAAAATATTTTTATCACTGCCTGTCAGTCATTCTGTTTGTTTGTCTCTCTGCCTCTCTCTCTCTCTCTCTCTCTCTCTCTCTCTCTCTCTCTCTCTCTCTCTCTCTCTCTCTCTCTCTCTCTCTCTCTCTCAGCATATTCTGAAATATTTTTTTTTCACACAACAATAGATAGAGACTGTGATAAATTTTTAACTTTCTGCAATGACATGGAACGACTGTTATGAAGGGAAATGCTTGTAAGACCTACTTGACTAGAGGTCTAGAGGTGAATGATTAACGCTTCACCCAGATCTATTTAAAAGTTCCCAAGTCGACCTTCTGACGACTAATTAGGATCCATACCGAAGAGTGCTTAACTAGCACATTTCACATAGTCAAATCTATTTCTAACACTCTGTCAACAGTATCACTGCATGGCAACACATCAGCAGGCATCTGTCATAATGCTTCAGTCAGTTTTATTAATCCGCATACATAATAAGACAAAGATCGATGGCAAACATGTGGATAATAACGTTCACTAAACATTCTAATTCTCCATTTAAATAAACAATACAGATGCCCACAAACCAAAGGCAAGTACGCCCAAATGCGTCCGTCACCTATTGCTGACAAAGAGGCACTGCCTCCTTCGTGGGTAACCTTCAGCATCTAACTTTCGGATCTCGCAATTCCCGTGAAGCTGCTGTTATCCATGAAAGTGTAAAATCAATTGTTTAGCCTGGACCCTTTGCACTCGTCACTATCCTCATCTTGCAACGTGGACCGTTCGCTCCCGTCCCCATGCCTCCTATCATCATCATCTAGCGCCTTCAAGACAGGCGTACGCAATCCCGCCTCTGTACTCTGGTACAACTGACCAGCAAATGAATTCAGCGCGCAACAACGACCTACTTCTGCAGATACCAGCCAGACCTACTTGTGATCACTAAAGTTTGTAGACCTTTTCTCCTGTAGTCTCAGTGTCTTGCAGTCTTGAGTACCAGCAAGTTGAAAGTCGCTGCTCTTTCTCCTAGTGCCCTCGAGATGACTGAGAGATCTGTTTATGCCTCGGTGATCACTGTTCTGACATTCAGAAGAAGATGGTGAATGAGATTCTGAAGAGAAAAATTGTTTGATAGCGATTACTATAGCTGCATGTCATAAGCATTTCTGTCGTTGATCATATTTTATTATGTAAATAAAAATTTATATATATATATACATATATATATATATATATATATATATATATATATATATATATATATATATATATATACATATATCCATTAAAATAAGCAATACACTCACGGCACCATAAAAGAAAAATGTTTTTTAGCCCAGGTCTGTATATATATATATATATATATATATATATATATATATATATATATATATATATATATATATATATATTTATATATATATATATATATATATATATATATATATATATATATATATATATATATATATTATCACCAGGCAGACCAAAATTACAGGTAGAGATACAAACTAAACTTGGAGTCACCAACCGGAAACTGAAGGAGGGTCACAGAGTTAAATAGAGGCGGATGATTTGTTGTTGTTGTTGTTGTTGTTGTCATTTTCCTTCTTCTTTTTCGTCTTCTTCTTCTTCTTTTTCTTCTTCTTCTTCTTCTTCTTCTTCTTCTTCTTCTTCTTCTTCTTCTTCTTCTTCTTCTTCTTCTTCTTCTTGTTCTTCTTCTTCTTCTTCTTCTTCTTCTTCTTCTTCTTCTTCTTCTTCTTCTTCTTCTTCTTCTTCTTCTTTAGAATCTTCTGTGTTTTTTAATGCCTTAATTGTTTCCGATTATAAAACTATTTGTACAAATCCCCTAAAGAGGAAGTTAAAGTTCATTTAGAGCGTTAAGTATGTCCGCCCTACACGCCAGCTTAGCCATCCATTTCTCAATATAAAACAGTTCTACTAGCTCAAATGCTTACTTTCGTATAAAAGTTTTACTGCTTCCCCCAGTTCGAAAAGCTGTGCAGGAATCCGTCACTTCTGCATCAAGGGGAGAAACGTAGACATAAGTCCATACTCTCGCACAGTGTCGTAAACAGTTTTTAGTTGAATGTTCGACTACGAATTTCATATATTATCTTCACCGGCTCAGCAGAAAGCTATGCAATGAGGTGCTCCCAGCGGATCGTCCGGAAGTGCCAACACTTTTGAGTATGAGATTTTCTTTTCGTAAGCTCAGGTTGCAATATGATCACAGCACCCGACCTTGGAGAGCTAATGCATATGTGCCCACTGAGTCTACCGTTTGTTTTCTGAAACCTAGATCTTCCTTGACTCCCAATCCTGGGGCATCTAGAGCTTTGGATTTATATATTGAAAAATATATATTGAAATTCAAACCCCTCAGCCACTCAAATCTTTCGTCTCAAGAACTTCAGGCACTCACAAGATTGTTATTAAACCTGCGGATAAGGAAGGGGCGGTAGTAGCCTGGAGCAAAAATTTATATGTGCAGGAAGGGTACAGGCAACTCAGTGACCTCTCGTTCTATAAACCCCAGTCACACGATGGCTCAGTTAAAAAAAAAAAAAGAACAAAATAGTGAAAAGTACTGTCACTACCTTGATCAAGGACTATGCTCTACCTGCGCGGGCTAGCTCTTTATTTGTCGAGGATAGCCGTCTGGGAAAGCCCGGCTTCTCTATGTTTCCCAAGATACATAAACTTGACAACCCAGGCAGACCTACTGTGTCCGTCTGCGCTTGTCCCACGGAACTCATATCTGGGTTCCTCCACCGTATCCTGCAGCCCCTGGTCGTTGGTCTTCCGTCTTACAACAAGAATACCAACCATGCTATCTCTGTCTTTCAGTCCAGCCGGTTCACCTTTTCTTCAAGGTACCACATCTTCACCTTAGATGTTACCTCCCTCTACACCTCTATTCCATACTCCGATGGGCTCCAGACTTTGCGGTTCTTTCTAGATCGTAGATTCAGCAGTGCTATAGCCACTGCCCCCTGACACGTCTGGCTGATTTAGTGCTTACTCTAAAGATTTTTTCGAGTTTAATGGCCACTACTTCAACCAGATTAGCGTCGACACTATGGGCGCCAAGATGGGGCCTAGTTATGCCTGCCTCTTCATAGGCCACCTCGAGCATCAGATACATTATGCTTTTACCGGTAGGCTCCCTGAGCTCGACAAGAGGTATATCGATGATTGCATAGGTGTCACCGATATGTCCCTACCTGAATTGCAAAACATTATTCATTTTGTCTGCAACTTTCATCCCACCATCCGTTGCTCTTTCAGCCATTTCACCTTCATTGGTACATTTTCTGGATCTCATCCCTCTTCCTGCAAAGACTCAATTCCTTTCTCCCAGCTTCTACGCCTCCACAGACTATGCCAGGAGAACTACGACTTTCACCACAAGGCTCTGGAAATGGATTTCTTCCAGCTCTGAGGGTATCCGAAGCATGTCTTATCTGCTGTCTTTCATCGAGCACGGTCTATCCATCGTGCTGAGATTCTCCTTTCCAAGCCTCAACGTCACCACAACAGACCCATTCTCACACTTACCACCCTCACAAAATCCCTGCTAAAAACATTCTCCTAAAGCATCTCTCCATCCTTAGGGCTGACCCTACAAGATTTTCCCTAAGCTTCATCTACTGACAAAGAGGCATGACCGTAACCTCAAGGACAGTCTAGTTAAGAGTCGGTTACGTCCTGCCTCTGAGTCCCACTTCGGGACGGTCTCTTGTCACAGACCTATATGCAGGACCTGCCCATATGTGGTTCAAGCAACCAGCCTGGAATTCCCGAATGCCACCTTCCAACGGCGCCCTGAAACTAATACCACTGGATTTCAATTCCCAGGACCATCAAGGTGTTAACGATATGGAGATGACAGCCATTAAATCTAGCCACTCTAGCGACAGATTTCGCAAGTCTCTTGAAAATCGCTTTATATACTCCTTGGGAACTCTGGCTCCTAGTGGACTAAACTGCCAACACAGCTTCATATAATCCTTGGGGGCTGAACTGTCTGCAATTTCCTCTTATCCTAGAGTGACGGACCCTGGCATTTCACCGGATAATCATTTTTCCTGCCTCACGTGCTTCGCCAGACAATTGTCTTGACATCGACCTGGCTGCAACGAGATATGAAGATAAGGGATTTTGTGTATTTGTGTAGTATTGTCTAATCTATGTATGTGCTGAAGAAGGCTCCATAACCGCAACGTTAACGTTTTGTTTGTGTTTGATATATTTTGAAGCTCGCTGATATACTTTTCGTTCTGTTTTATATCTTTCCATGAGGAAAGAGATCATCAGCTCATTAGAAATCATATGAAGCGATGCGATAAAGCTATTACTGCGTGTAAAGCAAGCGATCTCTTTTCACGCTACCAGTTTTATTTTAGATGATTACAATAGGGGAAAGAAATGTAAGAAAACTGAACAAAATGGCACTACCCGGGAAGGGGGGGGGGGGAATAAAGAAATAATTACATTCATCATTATCATGTGAAAGTTTCATTGTGGATCGTTGCTTTTGCCATGGACTGCAGATAGACCCTCAATTCCGTGCCAACTTATCAGCCTCGTGAAATTAAATGCCAAGAGTGTTGTATTAATATTCTATACTAACCGTCGTGCTGGTCGAGGCCTGCCTCTGCTTCCAGAAACGATACCCTCCATTGTTGTTCTTTGTAAATCATTATAATATTCAGTAGATATAATCACTTAACAATTTTAGTATTTTGTTCCATCTTTAGATCCAAGATAATATGTGACCTCTCTTCTAACATTTAAATGTAAAAGCACACACACACAAGCGATCGCGCACGTACCCGCGCACGCACACACACACACACACACACACACACACATGTATATATATTGTTTCAGTGTTTGCAAAAAAAAGCCGTGACTCACACCCATGTATTGCCACAAGAAAGACACATGTTCTCATTATTTTTATTTTCCTTTGTTTACAGATTTAGTGCAGCTTTTCGTTCTATTTAGCCATTGGGGGTGAAATAAGATCCTCTTTGAAATTCTTTTTGTCAGCTTTTTTTGTTCAGTTATTAAAATTCTTTTTATATCCAAACACAATGGCTTCAGGTAAAGTAAAGATCCCTTTCACGCCTTTAGGCATATCGGGCATATGGGAAGAGCGCCCATAGTTTTACAGACCTTCGGTGGGTAATGTGGTCAGCATTACGCCTGCCGTCTTTACTTCCCCAGAACAGCCATCCTGGTACCCAGTTTAGACTGGGTCGACTTGCGATACCACGATAAAAATCCACGCATCCAGCAATGGGTTTCGATCGCGGTACGTTGGAATTACGAGTAGGACTCGCAACGCCTTAGGCCACGGACGCCGCAGCTTCAGGTATGTGCTTCACAGTTGCTCGGTGAGCGCTTCAGGAAAGTGAACAAATGGAAACTTAAGATTAGGAAATAAAAATTAGAATCTAAAACAATGCCCCCCCCCCCCCCCCCAACCTCCCCCCTATTACGCAAACATAATATAGCATCATAGTTTATGAAAAGAGAAAGTAAAACAACAAAAATGCAAGCACATCTTGAAACTTTGAAAGACTCGTTTGAATATTTTTTTACAATCGCTCACGATTAGGTATATTTGTTCTTCTTGTGCTCCTTATCCCCATAGTCGAACATGGGTCCTCCAACAACTCACACCAAGTCGTTCTATCTGTGCTAATGCATGCAGCGCACCCTGTCCTTTCTCTTTTTACCCCCACTCTCTAGATCCCATTACCTTTTTTTCCCGGTTGTTTTTAGTATAACCTGTCGGTTCCAGTGCAACGATATTCTTGATATAATATTGTTCTCATGTGTTCTCAATGTGTGTCCTTGTTTATATATATACACATATGTACAGATTCCTTATCAATATGATCAAGAGCCATACGAAACCAATCAATGTCAAGTGTCTAATCTGTGCTCTATTATTCTACGTACTGTTGCTATCTGATCAGTGCAAGGTCTGTTTGGCCGTAAACTTGCCTATTCATCCCTTAGCTATTTATCAGTAGCATCATTTCGTCATTCCAAAACAGTCTTAGTCAATATTTTCTTCTTCTTCCAGAAACTGAG